ATAAACAATGGAAGATTATCAGCATACAAATTTGCCTTGTAATCACATTTTTCATGTGCATCTCTCTAGAAACTGCAGGATTTTGCCTAATTGTACCATCTGCAATACTTTTAGTCTAGGACACAGATAAAAGAGCTACAACTATTTCAAGAATTCCAAACAAACAATTTTTTGAAGTGATAAAAATAAACTCATTTTTTTGTCAAGGATTTTTTCTGTACCAAGGAATAATGGCAGTATGGTCAAATCTTTTAGCATTTACAGCAATCAGCTTTGTTACTAGTGTGATATTGTTAGCTCCATGCCAACAATAGAAAAAGAATACCTGTGTAGATGATAAGAAATCATGCTTCATTCGAAAAGAAATGGGAGTGTCACAAGACCTACTTATTGTAATGCATAACCTTAACTATACTCTGTACCCAGTGTCGGGGCACAAAATAGGGACATACTGTAAGACCCTATTAAAAATACCTGCCACGGTCTCTCTGCAAAAAAACTTATGAAGTAAACCCTTATTAAAAATGGCCATCAAAATGGGTCCTCCATGACATCTGCTTGGGCCGAAAAAGGTGACAAAGGCGGAATGCCTTTCTTCCTCCAGGTTTGGCAAGAAAGGGCAATGGCCGCTATCTCGTCACTCTATCTTGTTATTCCTTTTCTTGCTCCCTAAAGTCTCCTTTTTACAGGCTGCATTCCCATTTTTTCCTGATTTACATTAATTCTCCTATCTGCATTTGCACAGACATAAACATTTTAGAATCAGTAATGGAATTTAAATACACACATGGCAATACGGCCTGCCGCTCCTCCTCCCCGTAGGGCTCCCCCTGCCCTCTTTCTCCTCCCTCCCTCCTAAGGTAGTTAGATTTTATTCTTTTTTTAAATTATTAGTATTTTAATTTTTTACCTTGTGTACTAGATGACCCCCAACTTTTCTTAAGATTTTCCAGGCCTAAAAAGCCATCTAGTATCCCAGAAAATACGGTACTTTACTTTAATGTGATAACTAACTACGAAAAGTCTTTATATGTATCAGTGAGATAAAGATGACCTTTGAACAAATAAATAACCTCCATATAAATCAATTTTATTTAAAAGAAATGATTCTATCATTCTATATCAGAATATAGTACTGAGAATGGTATATAATCATATTTTCTACTAAGCTTTGAAGGTAGCATTATTCCAGGCACCACCAATTTTTTCATAATAGCACATTAGAAATGCTAGGTGGACTGATGTGCAGCACTTCCTATAGGCCTAATAAAAACATTACTGCTTTCATTTCATGTGTCCTGCATTTTACCTACTGATATGATCATAGTCAAAACACTTGTTTGGCAGCCTTTAGCATTTAAAGTGTGCTTTGAATAATGCTAACTTAGATAATAAACTCATATTATCTCAGCTTTTGTTGCCAACACTTAAAAAACCCACTTGGGGAATAGATCTATTTCTTTTACTGTCTTCAAAAGCCTGTTTCTTTTTTGTGCTTCACAATTTAAAACATGGAAAAATTCAGAGAAAGAGAAATCAATCTTATCTTTTTCTTATGTATTTTACAAATATTATATCCTGTAATATTTAAGAATATGTACTCTATGTTAACTGTGACTCAGATAACAGATCTTTAAAGCAACACAAATAGTATTTCTACAGAAAAAGGGAAAAAGAGCACATTTCCATTTCTTACTTTTTTAAAAAAATCCCACTTTACCAAACAACCATTGTGCGTGAAGGCAGACTTATCTCAGTATAATCTAGTAAGTGCTGTGTTGAATTGCTTTGGACTGATGAGCTACCAATGTCTCTGAAACAGAAGGAACTCAGACTGTTGCAGAAGAAAGCAAAGATGTGAATGGTGATGAATTCTGAGATTTGGCTGGGACAATGAGGGCTACTCTTAGACAGGATGAGAGAATTTGCAGATAATATGAAGGGCCCATATGTGGAACAGGCCAGCCAGATGGGACATAAGACACTGGAATGAAAAAGGGACCAATTCCTTTATACTGCAAATTTGGGCAGTATAAAAGAGACCAAAAGCAGAAATAAGGGCTACAGTTCTTTTACTGTCTCAGCAACTGCCAACCCCCCTTAATCTTTATATCTTTGCTTGCTCAGTAGGTTCATCTACTCCTTTATCCTTAAAGCCAATTCCATTGCCTGTAGTAGACTGCACTAAAATAATGCTACCCCTAGCCTACTGTAGATAAAGGATGCAGTACTTCACTTCTCTACCAGATCACTCACACTTGGCCAACACAGAATCCCTAATCATTTATGATTGCCAGATTGGTTCCCAAACACAAGGCTAGTATAGTGTTTTATGAAAAACGTCTTTGCTTTTCCATTTCCATTTTCTTTTCTTTTAAGTCCAGTTTATGATTGATTTTTTCAGTTCCCTTCTTGAAGTATCACATGGCATCTGCTGGTGTCTGGCTGTGTTGACCTGCTTGCCTTGAATATTTTATCCATGTTCAGTGTTAAGGTGGCAGTAATTTGAAGTTATAAATTATGTGCCTACCTGGCAGGGTTGTTGAGATTGTTGATCCCAACCCACACTGACAACAGATACACAAGCCTATAGAACAGCAGCATATTTTGAATACAAACATTCTTCTTAAAAGACTGAAGCCCCAGGTTTTCTGAATAACAGAACACTAGTTGCTGGAAAAAGAACATAATTGGTATGGAATAAGGACACGGCCAGTCTACCCTTAACAAAAACAAGAAGCTAATTTCTAGCTTACATATATTTTATCTATGGGCACCACTGTGCGTGTAACACATAAACCCTCATCATGAACATAAGGAGAAATGAAGCCATGTTATTATAAACAGTCTAGTTTGGGTCAGGACAGTAGTAGCATGCTATGAATGCACTAAACTTTCTTCTTTGCAGCTCTGTTGGTCATTGTTTCTCTATCTGTCTGTCCCCAACCAGTGAGAAGCAAGCAGAGGTGATGTTGTGAGAGGGTATAGGGAAAATAAACTTATTTGTAGTAATCCACAGCCACAACTGCACAAAATACATGCATCAGTCCAATCTTCAGTTACTGGGTGCTAATATAATTACATTTTGTGCCTAAAAATAGAAAGATTTGAATTATATTTCCAGTACTGCAAAACACACAGAAAAATTACAAACTTATGCTTTCAAATAAAGTTACATGTCATCCAAAATCAATTTTTGGATTAAAATGACATTTTCAAAATTAAAGAAAATTAAAGAAAGGCACACTTCTAGGCAACAAATATTTACACTCAGAAATGTGGGTTCCCTGGAATAAAACTGATGAAAAACGTTCAGTTACTGCCCCTTTTAAAATGCAGAACTGTAGAGAGATGAAAAAAAACTTAGCTTCATATTTTTAAAATCATGTTATATGTTTTCAGTGCTATTCCTCCCCTCACTTGAAGTAATGAGTTTCTCTCTCCCCATTATATGTACATTAAGATCCCAAAGAAGCTTGACTAGTTACACCACTTGGCCTTCATCTACTTTACCTTGCTCCAGTTGCTCAGTGTGACAATCTACAACCACTCAAAGTTCTATTGTCCCTGTTTCTTTTTAAGAAGCAGATATGAAACTTCAGTACTGAAGGGAATACTCGGCTGCCAGACTCTAACCTCAGTACAAGAAGAGGTCAAGTCAATGAAGCACCACTGGAACACTTTATTCAAGTGCCGAATGCTACCAGTACCTTCTTCAGGTACTTTTATAATGATTGTTAAGACCCTCTGCATCTTTTGGATCACTTTCTTTTATGTAAAGCTAAGATAATTTATTTCATCCTGAAACTGAAATCTAAGCAAGCTGAAATAGTTCCTAGAATTCAATAACCTTTCATCCCAGTAGAACAGAAACGTCTGTGGTCAAGCATTTGACCCTTAAAGAGAAATACAAAATTCAATGGACCATCTGATCCTTAAACATTTTCCAACAGTGCAAAATTGACTGAAATGAGCAGCATGTTCAAGAATAATAAGGAAGAAAATGAAGTACTGGTGGCAACTCTTCTCCTGTGGGTACAAATGGGACCCCATTTTATCTATCTGAATGAAAATGCTTTGCACATGAATGTAGGTTTTCATCACCACAATTCAAACTAGACTGGGTCTGGAAGGATACAAGTATTTTCAACTCAAAATTTGTGGTTTTATAATGAAAAAGGGGTTCTCACCTTAAATGATTCTTCTTTAGTTGGATTATAATTGGCCAACTCCCTTTCCCAGCAGCCTAGGAAACAACTCTTCAGCTTCCAAGTCAACTGCAGATATATTCTATGCACTACAAACTAGGTATCCCAGGGTTCTTTCTTTTTGGGATTTTTGATATGATTGGGGGGGGGGGAGGAAGCTTGTACAGAGGTGAGGTGAGATTTCTTTCCTGCTGCCACCACTATGCTTCCAATGTTTAAAGGAAGGGAAAAGGTAAATCTGGATCTTACCATGAAGGCCATGATGACAACTTGCATGATTGTTTCCTGGTCTAACAAAAGCAGCATCAAGAACCAAAACACCTGCTTTTTCATTTGTGGAGACGGGGGAGCATAGTTTGGTTTGTTTTACCAATTTCTCTTTAAGGGAAGGACAGTTCACTTGACATTAAACTATTCAGCATCAGGCCTTTAGAAAAGCTATTTAAGAAAATCACAAAACTCCACTAAATATTTTGTGATAAAGAGATATGAATTATAGACAGTTCTCCACATACAGTGGGATTGAGGGTAAAATTGGAAAGAATGTATTTTAACTTGCAAGAACATTTTTCCGGGAATCTCTGAGACTAGTACAACTTGATGGTCAACTTATGGAAGCTGGCCATAGATTTGTACTGGAGGGCCTAGAGAGAACATTTTAAAAATAAAATATGTGAATAATGAAATCTGCAATAGTCAAACCCTCAAATATGGAGGCTGAATGTATATGCAAATATAGTACTGGAAATAAGTCACTAAATACACATACACATACACTTAAAAAAGGCTTACCACAGAAAGTGAGTTTGAAAGCAGCGCTCCATCTTGGCCAAGCATATTCGAGACGGTGATTTCAGGTAGGTCCATATTTTGCGGATGGAATGGGAGTAGGCCATTATGGTTGATAGGGTGACAAAGTGAAGGATAACCAGTTTCTGTGTCATTCAAATGCACAAGTGAATGGTCAGGTAGTGAAGGTGGGGTGATTGGAGGTATGTTAAAATCTTCACTCTCAAGACTTGGACCAGGGAAAGACTGTGGAAAGATGAAAGGCAGAGTTTTAATAAAAATGTCCTATACTTAAATCTTAAGAGATGGTAGCATAAGAACAAGCAAATATATAAATGTACAAAGAGCACTCAATAAAAATATCATGCCTTGTTTTCAAACTAGCATCAAGCAGTACTTTCTGATTTGCACAAAAAAGAACCTGTTAAACACTTATACACTGTAATAAAGCAATTGCACTATAATGTATGGAATAAGAAAAAAACTGATATTTTCACAGATTCCATTAGAAATTCTCTCCACCATAGCAACCAAATTCAAGGGCCCATTAGAATTTTCTAAGTTTCTTCATTGGATTGCATATGTTTTCATAGGAACCAGAATGAATGTTTCTTCTTCTTCTGTGCACCTTAGTGAAACATTCAAAAACAAGATTTCTTCCCCTGCCTACATTATTTTTACTGTTGAGTGGCAGAGTCTTATGAGGTCTTTCTGATCTACTATTAATTTTATAAATTGAATTTAATCTCCTAGAATAGTAGTACAAAATTGACCCAGAAAGAATGAACTGCATGCAATACACAGAGAACCATGATTCCACTGTAGCTAAGTCAACTTGCATGTATCACCAGCACTTAAAGAAGTCCCTTTTTTGTACTACAACTTCAAAAAAACCCCAATTAGTTTGGCCAATGGACAAATTGACTGTGGGACTCTGGGAATTTTAAGACAAGAAAAGGAACTTTTCTAAGTTCTGCACATACCCAAATGGTTAATATTATGTTAAACAACCAGTTTCTATCACCATTTGAATGAAGAAAGTGAACAGTATTGACAGCATCATCTGTTTCTAACCAATCCTGTGAACAGCTTTCACAGCACCTGCAGTCTGCATGGAACAGCAGCTTTTGTGGTTTTGTAGTCAAAAAGCAGGACTAATGCATACAGGTTCACTAAATGGATATGGCCTGAATTCAAAACACACAGAATTTACATTCAAGGGTCACAATCTGAAAAACAGACGGGTTTCCAGAGTGTTGTTTCAATGCGTGCTTTGCTCAGCTGCATCAGGTTATGAACTTGTAAATACTTTGCAGATTATGATCGAAGAATAGACTGTTATTATTTTTACATACAAATCAATGTAAAGTCATTCTCCTAAATGATAATTTGATTGTTCTGTTTTCCATTTTCTGCTGGCTGCTGGTGTTAATTAGGCAGATGGTAAATGACCAACAGAAGTAGAGTAATGATTTTCTAAATAACAATGAACCATCTGAAATATGTTGGGTGTCATCAAAACAAATGATGGAAATTTCTACAGAAAATTGGTTTTGGGTTTTCAACATCGCCATCTCCTTCTTCTTTTCACATTTTCATATTTTGCTATGCGTTCTTCATCTTTCAGTTCACTGTTCTTCAATAAAAATGATAGAGTATTTTACTGTAACCAATCTATGCTCTGAAAGTATCTAGTGACATGCTGGGAATATAAAGAATTATCACCTATTTTCTCATTCTTGAACAAATATAAGTATTTTGATATACAGGACACCCCACCCTGTGCTGCCTTGATTTCTCCATGAAAAATTCATCTCTGATTAATTATGTGGATTAAAAAAAACTCAACAAAAATTCTCCTTAGAACTGAAGAAAAGCCATAATGCATAGGAAGGACATTGACAAGCTTATTTATTATTTATTATTTATTTATTTTACTGTATTTGTATACCGCCTTTCTCAGCCAATTGGCGACTCAAGGCAGTTTCCAACAAATCAGTATACATAAAACATAATAGATAAAAAACATTAACAGTATAAGACATCACAAAAACAATAAAAGCAACAAGCTTGAATGTGTCAAGAGAAGAGATACCAAAATAATCAAAGTTTTGGAAGCCATGCCCTAGGAAGGCGAGTATGTTTAGCTTGGAGAAGAGAAGGTTAAAAGATGATATGAAAGTCATGTTTAAAGGTTTCAAAGGATATCATATTGAGGAGGGGACAGGCTTATTTTGTGCTGCTCTAGAAACTAGGATGTAGATCAATGGATTCAAACTACAGGAAAAGAAATTCCATCTAAATATTAGGAATAACTTCCTGATGATACACGTTGTTCATTTGTAGAATACACTGCCTCAGAATGTGGTGAAGTCTCCTTCTCTAGAGATTTTTAAGTAGAGACTGGATGGCCATCTATAGGGGGTTGGATAGCTCTTGTGGTCTCCTCCAACTATTTCATTATATTCTATGATAACTCTTAATTCCTCTGAATGATAAAGGGGATCTTGGTCACACAAACTCCAGCTCTGTGATGGAGGAGTACAACTGATCATCTCTGTGGGAATGGAACAAGGAACCTTTGCATCTGGCATAGGGGGACCACCAGCATGGGATTTGGCTACATTTCTCTTGCCATTTTGTTTGTTCCTGCTTTTGTTTGGTTATGAGGGTTGGAGTAGAACGTTTTCTTTCTGCTTTTTCTGTTGTTTGTGTGTGTGTGTGTGTGTGTGTGTGTCTTTGCTGCCAATCCTTGTGTGTATAGAGTAGAACATGAGGTTCTTTGGAGTACTGAACAAACAAAAACAAATGTATATTCTTATTGAACCCCAGCAAATTAGAACTTCTATCTGCAATGAGAATTCAGAATAGGAGGTTGGATGCAGAAACATGCAAGCACATTCCTATTCATGAAATTCTGTTCAACCATTATCCTTGTTCATAATCCTTATTCAGACTGTGTCGGAATCCGTATAACTTATTCTTCAAATGCTTGTGTACACAGCCAGGTCTTTAGCTTTTTTCTGAAAACCAGAAGAGATGGGGCCTGCCTGATGTCAATGGGGAGGGAGTTCTACAGCCGAGGGGCCACCACTGAGAGGGCCCTGTCTCTCATCCCCACCAGTTCAATAATGGCAATCAGAAAGAACATAACATCAAATGCTGAGTATATTGAGAGAGTCAAGTATTTCAAGTTAAAGTCAATTATAAATGCAAATCTTGCAGTGAGTTAGGTGGAGTTAAAATACATGCAACCAGAAGTAAGAATGTTAGTATGATTTGCTTTTTTTAAAAAAAGGAGTCAGACGTAAATGGAAACATGTATATGTTAGGATTTTAATTTTAAATCCCAATGTGCATTTGTTGCTTGGTGTTTTTCACAAGGCTTTTAAAAAAAACTGGTCCATAAAGCTCCTCAATCAGAAATATAAATCATCTAACACTCAGCAAGAACTGTCAAATAGCCTATCACTATGTTCAATTCAATGTTCTTTTAAAGGATGTTTTGTATTTCTTTATTGGGTAGACAACAGCAATAAATCACACTCATTTTAAAAACACACAATATATTAATTTATCAAGCAGAAATCATCAAGAACATACTGCAGCAGAAGGTACATTTTGTGCCTGTAATGTTCATCAATTTCTTTAATTTACATTAGATAAAGGGCAGTGCTTGAAGCAAAACATTAATTTTCCACTACAAAACCAAGAGAACGTTGATTGCTGCATAACAGATTTTTTTAAAAAAGCAGTGATTTCAAGACTTTCCAAACAAAATAAGTGTTTGTTGTTAATTAAGCATACCATATCAAATTCCTTTCACGGTTTCATACAGCAATGCAATAGTATGCAAAACAAGTTTTTTCATACCTCAGCAAAAAGTGTCATTGTTACATCAAGAACTTTTCCACATGCATTATTGCTGTATTTACTCAAATCTTGTGCGGCATTAAATGTAATGCGAACCTCAATTTTCAAAACCCTGAAACCAAAAAACATATTTGCTGGCAAATGTTATGAGCAGCTGCAAAAAGTGAACTCTTTAAATTTTGGCCAAAAAAGATATGCATTACGGTTGCTGCCTGCTTAGAGCTGCTTCTTTAAAAACCCAAGTGTTAGGACACCAAATCTTCCAACAACTGAAAAAAAGAGAGAGAGAGAAAGGTAACCCTTCCCTCAAGGAGTTTCTCCTGCTTATCCTGACTCATCTTCCTTGGGTGGATCTATGATGTAACATGAATGCAGCTTGACACTGTTTTACTTAACCTGGCTCAATGATATGGAATCCTGGGAATTGTAGTTCGACAAGGTCTTTAGGCTCGAAGGCTTTCATGGCCGGAATCACTGGGTTGTTGTAGGTTTTTCCGGGCTATAAGGCCATGTTCTAGAGGCATTTTCTCCTGACGTTTCGCCTGCATCTATGGCAAGCATCCGTCAGGAGAAAATGCCTCTAGAACATGGCCATATAGCCCGGAAATACCTACAACAACCCAAGGTCTTTAGGCTTCTCTGCCTAAGAGGACTGGTGCCTCTCCAAACTACAAATCCAAGGATTCCATAAATTGTAGAATAGTATTCTCAGTGTTACCAGACAACATACATGCTTACAGTATAGGTGCATCTTAGTCCTTGGGTGAATCTGCACTAGAATAATGTAGTCTGATGCCACTTTCACTGCTATGGCTCAATGCTATGGACTCATAGGGGCAATAGTTTACAAGGTTTTCAGCCTTCCCTGCCAAAGAATGCTGGCGCCTCACCAAACTACAACTCCCAGAATTGCATAGTACTGAGCCATGGCAATTAGAATGAGTGTCAAACTGCATTAATTCTGCAGTGTAGATGCATTCTAGGTGGGCTATGCTGGGGTCCTCAACTTTAGCCCCCAAATCCCGTTAGAGCTGCAAAAGGGAACCACAAGCAAATCTCACATAAAATTATTATTATTTATTTCTATCCCACTTTTCTCCTGAGTCAGGACTCAAAATGGCAAACAGTACATAAAAGCAAAAATACATGGCATACAATAAAATGAACACCATCATAAAGAAACATATATAATAAAATAAACAATTACAAAAACTCAGAAAATCAACTCTTGAGTATTGCTTACCTAAGAAAATGCAGTGGGGTCCCCATAGGTCAACAGACAGCTTGGAAACAGGGACACACATATATACAGATATCCCAATTCCCAAACTGCTTGTCAGTTGGCAGGATAACTTTATAGAAGGCTACATCAC